GCACGACCACCCCCCCAGCACGACCACACCCCAGCAAGACCACACCCCAGCACGACCACACCCAGTCGCACCCCCGTGGAATGTTTCGTGGCGTGTCTCGTGGAATGTTTCGTGGGGTGTCTCGTGGAATGTTTCGCGGTGTGTCTCGTGGAACGTTTCGCGAGGTGTCTCGTGGAATGTTTCGCGAGGTGTCTCGTGGGATGTTTCGCGGGGTGTCTCGTGGGATGTTTTGTGAGGTGTCGCCCAGTTGGGTATCGTGAAAACGTGACCATGCTGCGCATGTCTATATCCCTTTCCGGGTTCGTGGGTCCATCATGTTAACATGTGATGCTCGCCTCAGCACGGCTCGCATTCGCCTTAAAAGATGTGCAAGGGCTTCAAACATAGTTATTTTCAACATGTAGATCTCGCCTTAACGACGCGCGCATTCGTCTTCAAAGGTTGCAGCGTGTTCAAGGGCTCGCATGGTTATCAGGAGTAGTGTTTGAGCGCGTTCTAGGGTTGTCAGGACGCAGCAATCACGTTGATTCGCGGTGTTGAAGTCCAGGAATGGTATTATGGCAAGATCGGGGGTTGTCAGGTCGCAACAATCACGGTTGATTCGCTGCGCTGACGTCCCAGGAACGATATGTTGACACGACTGAGGATTATCAGACGGTTGTCTTCCATTGGGGGGCATCCCACAATGAACATAAGTTCTTGTACGGACCTCTGAAGAAGGAACTCGGAGCGAGGATGAATTACAACATCGTTGATGCGTCTTGGGTTTACGCTGGTACTCCTCCCACCTCCTCCCTCCTCCCCCTCCCCCTCCTCTTCCTCCTCCTCCGCCTCCTCCTCCTCTCATCATCATCCTCAACATCATCCTCATCCTCATCCTCATCCTCATCCTCATCCTCATCCTCATCCTCATCCTCATCCTCATCCTCATCCTCATCCTCATCCTCATCCTCATCATCATCATCATCATCATCATCATCATCATCATCATCATCATCATCATCATCATCATCGTCATCAGCATCATAATCATCCCTGTCAATCTCCCTCTCCCTCATCATCCCTCTCCTTCTGTTCCCCCGTGTCCTCCGTATAGATGTCCGCCATGGCGCCGTCTATGGATTAACCCGTCTCCTGGTACATGTGTGCGAGCCTGTCCTTGACTTCGCCGTCGATCGCCCGCAATGCCTGAGTTCAAGTCTCAGTGTCGGCGCCCAATTTGGCAGGTTCAGCGGCTGGCTGTTCTCCACAACCAGCCTGCACGTTGGCCATAGCCTCGTCCTGAAGTGTTCGGATGGCGTCATATGGCGTCTTTCTCCTCTTGGATGCGCTCCTGGATGGATGTGCCCTCTTCCTCGAGCTTCTCCAATTCACGCCCTCCTCCTCCTCCTCCTCCTCGTTCTTCTCGGCGTCCCGCTTGGGAGGCCCATGCGAGTGGTGCCGCTCGGACCGACCTGGTGGACCTCGCCCCCCCCGCCTCCTCTCTGCTGGAGTTGGCGCCGCCCCTGTGGGCGGCGTCCTCGTCCCTGCCAGCCTCCTCGGGCCGCGGCGCACGACGGCCTCGGGGCCTCGGCGGTCGCGGCGGGGACCCCACGCCGAGGGGCGCACCCTGGGCGGGGCGCCTTCCCAGCAGCCCCCGGAGCAGGTGCGTACCGGTCGCGGGCACGGGCTTCCTCGAGCGCTCCTCCGGCGTTCCAGCGGCGGTCCTCGCAGGCACGGGCCTCCTCGGGCCTCCGCGAGCGCCCCTCCAGAAGTGAGCAGCGGACCTGCCTCGAGCGCTCCCGAGCGACAGGGTCCTCGAGGGACTCGGGGGGCCCTGCCGAGCTCCGTGGCGGGTGGAGGGGCCAAAGCAGGGGCAGGGGCGGGCACGGGTGATCTCTTCTTGCTGCTCTTCCCCGCAACGGCCCCACCAGGATCTCAGCTCATCGCAGCCTCAGGGCGAGTCGAAGAGTCGCCAGGCAAACAGAGAGCGCCACACGAGCCGACCAGAAAGGCGGGTGATTTCTGGCAGGGCCAGCTCGGAGGCCCTCTCCTCTGTCCACGCCGCCTCTCGCCTTGCCTCCCGCCAAGTGGTCGTCCTTCCCCGCTCGTGGATCGTGCGCCGTCGTGCCGCCAAAACTGCGCTTCAGCAATCGGTGACGCTGTTTCCCTCTCCTTCCTCTCCCCGTCTCTCCTTGTCCCGATCGCCCTTGCCACCTCGTCTCTGGGCATCGCTCGGACGTCCATTCCCTGTGTTTTTTCCCGGAAAGGGCTCGAGCTCAGGGTTCTCGTTTAGCTGTTTACCCCCGGATTCGACGGCTGTAGGGCCGGCGAAATTATTCTGCGATAAATTACGTGCGGGAGTAGGGCCGGCGGAATTATTTTTGAGGATGTCCCCAGCGAAACGCTTGTTTTTCAGAATGTGTTGAGGATGTCTCGAGCGAAATGCTGGTTTTGCAGAGTTGGGGATGTCTCGAGCGAAACGCTTGGTTTCAGAATTTGTTGAGGATGTCTCGAGCGAAACGCTGGTTTTGCAGAGCCGACCGCGACACGGAAAAGCGCCCCTCGCGCAGGAATTC